CAATCCCCCAATCAGCCCTACCCTGAGCATGACTGAGGGTGGCATCGCAACCTCCCAATCCGCCCTGCTCTATGCATGACAGGGCGCAGTGCCCCAACTCCCCAATCAGCCCTGCTCTTAGCCCGACCAGGGCTGCACCTAGGGATTGGGCCTGCCCTCTGCCACCCAGGAGCAAGCTTAAGCCAGCAGGTCAATATCTCCCGAGGGGTCCCAGACTGCGAGAGGGCACAGGCCGGGCTGAGGGACCCCCCCCTTCCCTCCCGAGTGCACAAATTTTTGTGCACCGGGCCTCTAGTCAGGTTATAATGTTCTTTATAAAGAACATTATAACCTGATGAAAACGAGACTTTTAATACATCCATGAGAGCGGGTGTTCATCGCTATTGTATTGGTACACTTGGGGCAGTCAACACAGTCTATTTATTCAGTCTCCCCTCCAGTTCCTCATTGGCCGAGTACTATGGGGTCACCTGTTTCCTCATACATCACCTAGGTCTTGCTATCTTCCATTGGACCATTTAAAAAAATTGGATTGAGGCCCTCTCTAGCCGCCTCTATCTCCCCCTGTCTAGCCGAGGCTGGCACCTGCTGGGGGGAGGTGTGTGTGGGAAAGAGGTTTTCCACCATGATGTTGGCCCACATACACAGTTCTTTGTTCCTATATCCTCTTTCCTCCTCCCTGCATTCTGTTTGCCCTGGGGAAATTGAGCAAATTCCATCAAAAGCTGACCATGCTGGAGATGGATCACAGAGGTCCATTTCCTACATAGTGACTTCCTCGAAATAAAGTGCTGAAAGTGCTGTATTCTCCATGAAAAGGAACTAAATAATCTTAAATTCTCTTTTTATTCCTTTTAATTTCAAAAATTTAAACACTCGGCAAAAAATTATATTCAAATATTGCAAATTGCAGAAATTTCTTTTAAAATTCAATTAAAGTTGATTTTTTTTTCATTTAAAAATAAGTGAGTTTGGCTGGTTTAAGATTACTAATATTGAAAGTGGTTGTTGGGCTTGGTGGTTATAGTGAGATATTCCCAAATTCTTCTTAATAAGGAAAATAAGCTTGCCTTCTAAGAATTAAACATAAAATTAGCCATTATTGGATCACAGTAGAAACTTGCAAAGTCAATTTAAAGAGATATACATGATGACTACCAAAGCATCTAAAGCTGACTGTAACCCAGTGGAATGAGTTATCATCATTTATTGCATTTAATAAGCATTTACTGAGCACGTAGTATAGGAAAGAACTGATCTAGGCCTAGGAATAGAGTAATGAACAAACTATACTTGGTTCTTCTTGGAGTTTACTATCTAGTGGAGAGATGAGCATCAAGTAGTCATATGATTCGTTATTTAGTTATATGCAACAAAGGAAAAGGTTGGGTTTTTGGAACATTTATAACAAGGAAACCAAGTGTTTAGGAGTAAAGGAGGGCTTTTAAAGAAATTAACATTTAAATTGAAGTGTGAAATACTAGTAATTAATCAGGCATAGGAGTTGGGGGTAGGACACAGTGTTAGGATAGCGAAAGAGTTGGAGGGCCCAGGGAATGGAATGTTAGGGATTGTGGGGAGTGACCTGAGGTGAGACTAGAGAATTGAATAATAACTGGAGGTGAAGGCCTTGCCAGTAAGTTAAAAATGTGAGTATCACTAACTAGAGCAGTGACATTCGATTCATGTTTTATGAAGATGTCACTGGATGCATATCAACATGGAAAAGGACTAAAAAAAACATTAGTCTGAGGAAGGATTGAATCAAGAAAGGAAGGACTGAAGGAGAGTTCAAATCCTCCTCAGGGGACAGTGATCATTTGTTCAGTAAATACAGTTTTCCTTACTGTGTGCTTAGCACTAGAGTTATGGAAGTGAGCAAAACAGATGTTGTCAGGAGCTGATGACAGAGATAATCCTACTGTGAGGCTGTTTGCAGCTTAATATTCTAATAACTTAATCTCAGTTTTCCTGATTCCTTGTTATGAAATGAATTTGTGATGGTTGTGGTGAATTTCACATAATTTGCCAAGAGGGAGAAGATTTGCTGGTTAAAGAACAGTGTCTTATTAGTTATATCTGACTAATTATATGCCTTATTAGTTTTATGCAAGAGTCACTGGGCTCATCTTGGTTAATGTGAGTCAGCTTCTGAGATTCTGGCCAGTTGGGTTTTTGAACTCATGGGAATACTTATAAAGGACAGGCCCTGGACCATGTTGAATTCATCAACTCACTGCCTTCCCACAAGGAGGTATTTAGTTGCCAGTTGGTCTTCTCTAGGAAATATTCTGACACCATTCTATACACAATGTCCCTCTCCTGATCTTTTTTCTTGTTTTCCAGTTGTCACTAAGGTTAGTATAAATTGATGCTTCATAGATTTGCATGCATTTTTCATGGAATATGTGTAGTGATCCTAAAATTCCAGGTGCTTGTACAATTTATCAAAATAGGTTTTATACCAGTAGTTTATGCATTTATTTATTCAACACATTTATTTTATTATGTATATTATGCATAACCAGAGATCCAATGCCAAGCAAATAAATACAATTTCTGCCTGTGCATGAAGAGCTCAATTTTGTGGTGATTGTCCAAAGCATATGTGTTTCACATGGTGGCTGTGATTTTATGTTGTCCAAGATTGGTATGAAATGACTCTATTAGATTTATTTTAATTAATTAAAAATTTGGTGTAAATACTCAGAGGTAATTATAGCCTACTTCTTGTTTAAAATATCTTACATTTAGCACTGTATAAATATATGCTTTCTAAAGGTTTTATTTGATTAAGTTAGAATCAAATATCTGTCATGTTATGGATAATTTCCTACTTCATGTAAATGGAAAATTATTTTAGGCCCAAGAAAAATTCCAGAAAGCTTGGAACCACTTTACCATTGCCATAGAAGTTGATCCAAAGAGCTACCTAGCCTATGAAGGAAGAGCTGTGGTCTGTCTTCAGATGGGTAATAACTTTGCTGCAATACAGGATATTAACATGGCCATTAAGGTAAAAATCCACTTAGATTGTGTTATAATTAGCATAAATTAACACCATCAATGAATAGGGTTAAGTAAAAATATCCTGTTATGTTTTAAAGTGATTTGTAGAGAAAATAATATATATATTTTGTTTCAAGAGATTCCTAAAGAATTATCGTGGCTTGTAAGTTCTATAACCTGAATACATTTAAAATTCAAAAAAAAATTCCTGGTAAATGTTGATTCTCTCAGTAAATGCAATTTATAGTTTTATGGCGTCAATATTATTTTGTAATAAAAAATGAATGCAAAAAAAATAATGTTCTGGGTTTGAAGGAACTACAGGAAGAATAATGTAATTCCCAAGATTCTTCTGTAGTGAAAAGGCAAATAAATACCTCAGGTTTTGTATACAATGAAAGAAAATCTTCCTCTTTATTTTCTAGATTTTTGGATTCTGTTTCTGTTGCTTCGGGTAGATGTTGTAATCTTTGAGGTGAGAAAAAGGGAAGACCTGAAAGATAATTGCTGCTGCTTAGAACAAATAAACATGTTAACTATTTAATTTCTTTTCCAGCTTTAACAGAACTATGCAGATAAGCTTTCCTCCATGTTCTTTGGAAAGGAACTGAGTAAAGCACTAAGATTATTTATTTTATTATAACCAAAATCAACAAAGTGTTGACATTGAACCAACTTCATACTGAGACCTCCCACAAAATATTTGCTCTAATAGGGCTTCACCTGAACTAGAAAGTTACTAGCTTCCCACAAGTAGATTTCATAACGTTCATTTTTGCAGATATGAAATCGGAGATAAATACTATTCCCAGATGCTAAATACTCATACTATTAAATTGCAGATCAATACTACAGCAGAATTCTTAACAAATCGTGGTGTGATTCATGAGTTTATGGGCCAGCAACAAAATGCAATGAGAGACTATCAAGCAGCAATTTCTTTAAACCCTACATACGCACTGGCTTACTTTAATGCAGGAAATATCTACTTTCACCACAGGCAGTTTTCCCAGGTAATGTGTTTTCCTTAACATTTTCTTTTTTCATTAAATGCTTTCTTTGTTATATATAGTTTTAAAATTCAGTCCTTATAGCCTAGGCTAATCATTCATTAGTTCTTTTTTAAACAAATGTCCTTCGTAAGAATGTTCATAATTAATTAAATGTTTAACCTCTCTGGATTTATTCTCCTCATTATCACCATCCATTCAACATTTGTCCAGCAAACATTATTTTGGACTTACCAAAGTGTCTTGCTATCCATTCTTTATCTTTTTGAGTCAGAAGCTAATCATTTATTATCACCCTTTCATTTCTATTGTAATAAATTATTATGGTTATGCCTTTTCTCCAAGTACTGCTTTTAGCAGTATCCTACATACTTTGGTCTTTGAAGTTTTAATTTTGGTTTTCCTAAAATTTTGCACTTGTAATTTTATTTCCCCTTTGACTCAATAATAAATTAATAAGGCATTTGAAATGTCCAGATAGACAGACTTTTATATTTTCTAGTTTGGGTTCTTATTGAGTTTTTTAATGTGGTCTAATATATGGCAAATATTGAAAAACATTAAAGGGTTCTTTTCAAAGAAGTATAAGAAACACCTTATTAATTATATTTTTAATTAGTCAATATCCATTCTTCTCTTTTTTTCATTTGGTTGACCTTGGACTGAGAAAGGTTTATTGGTTTGGTTCTATATAGTTTTTTATATTTCTTGTAATTTCTGCTTTATGAAAATTGCTGCTGCATTATTTCTTGTATAGATATTAATACATATTATATATGCACTATATATTGTAACCTTCAGCATTGTAAATGTACTTCTTTGTTTTTTAAAGCTCTTTAGAATAAATCAGATCTGACCTCTGATTCCCTTTGGTTTGCTTTTGCCTGGTATTTCTTTGTCCTTCCTTTTATTTTCAACATTTAGAATTTTTTGTTTTAGATGTGTCTCTTTTGTGTAGCATAGAGTTGGATTTTGCTTGGGGGAGGGCTGAACAGGGTTAACGGGGGAAAAGGGTACTTATGTAATACTTTCAACAATAAGGAATTATTTTTAAAAAAGAAAAAAAAGCCAATTGAAAGTAATTATCTTTTAATAGGTGGGTTAAGCCCATTTTCATTTTGGCATAATCAGTATGTTTGTTTTTGTTCTGTTATTTCTGCTTTCATGTATTTTAGAAGAATTTTGTTCTGTGGTCTGTTTAATTTTTTTCAGTTTTTCTGATATTGAGAAAATTTACAGTTTTGCCCTAGTGGCTGCCTTTATAATAGTAGTTTTTAGAAATAGTACTCTTATTTCCTTGTATTTTTAGTTTCTCTACTATGAACAACAATAAATTACTCTCCCTCTCATCTATTATTCAATTTTACTTAAAGTATTCTCTTTTAAATTTTTTCTATTTATTTTCTTAAATATGCTTGAGTTAATTTATCAGTTTACTATCCACTGTCACTGTTATTCCATTTTCTTGTGAGTTTCATAATTCCTATACTGCCAAAGGATTTAATATTTGCGTATTATTTTGTTACTCTTATTTCAAATTTTCATCTTAGTTCTCCAGTTAAGTATGTTCAATTCACATTACCAGATTTTTTGCCAGTTTCCATCCCAACCGATTATTTCTTGGTTGTCTGAAATTGGTCCCTTAATAGAGTCCTGAGAAAGGGCTCATGCGAACAATATTCCTTGGATTTTTTCATGTTCATCACTGTTTGCCTCTAGCCTTTATATCTTAAGGAGACATGTCTCGGTTTAAAACCCTTGGCCTCTTTTTTTTCCCTTGAGTATCTTGTGTTGTTTCACTGTTTTCTGATATTGTAGGTTGATGTCAAGAAGCTGAATACAATTCAATTTTTGTTATTTGTGACTTTTTTTTTGGTTAGGATAACCAAATGTTTTCAATGAAAAGTTTCAACAATGCATGCCTTAGAGTTGACCATTGGTGTCAAAGTTAATAAGCACACAGTATGTGGTTTCAATATGTAGATTTCAGAAAAGTTTGTTGAATTCAGTGAACAATTTTTTTTCTGTTTCGTGGTTTTGATTTTCTTCATTGGGCAACTCTATCCATCTCCTGTCCTTTAGCTTCTATATATCAACTGTTTTTCTCATTCCTTAAACCTCTTAATTTCTTTTTCATTTTTGTTGCCTTCTTCACTGTGTTTTTTGAGATATTTATTGTCCCCTTGTAGATCTTAGAATTCAAGTTCTCTTTAGATTTTTGTTTGTTTGTTTGTTTGTTTTTGTAGTTCCATCATATTTCCATGTCAGACCTTATTGGCCATAACTTTTCTGAGATCCTTTGTTTCTGAATTACTTTTTTCTTAAATGGAATTGCTTTTATAATGAATTTTTTCTAGTTCATTTTGAAATGCGTTATAATCTTTAATCTAGACTGTAGCAGTACTTTTTTTCTGGTGAGTTTTTACTTTCAAAAAATTAAATTGCTTTCATCCTTGTTTTTGCCATGAAGGCAGGTGAATTACTTTTCTGTTACTCATATTTGAATGTAATAAATTATTTTCCTTTTCTAGTAGCAGAGGTTCTTGTGGGAAATAGGAGGATGGGCCATAGTAACTTTCCAAGTTGAGCTCCCTCTGATGCTATAGTAAAGGACTTTACAATATGTCCTTTCTAGCCTATCTCGGTTTGGAAGGCTATCACAAGGTCTGTGTTTCTCTGAGCTTTTCACAGCCCTTGCCTTCTAAAATAATGCACTCATTTAAAAAGTTGTTTTTATTGCCTGCATTTTTTGAGACCTGTCACCTCTATTTTCTCCTTCACCACTCAAAACTGTCACCACACTTCTTTTTTTTAAATATATTTTATTAATTTTTTACAGAGAGGAAGGGAGAGAGATAGAGAGCTAGAAACATCGATGAGAGAGAAACATCGATCAGCTGCCTCCTGCACACCTCCTACTGGGGATGTGCCTGCAACCCAGGTACATGCCCTTGACCGGAATCGAACCTAGGACCTTTCAGTCCGCAGGCCAACGCTCTATACACTGAGCCAAACCGGTTATGGCTCCACACTTCTTTTTTAAAAAAATATATTTTTATTGCTTTCAGAGAGGAAGGGAGAGGGAGTGAAAGAGATAGAAACATCAATGATGAGAGTCATTGATTGGCTGCCTTCTGCACGCCCCCTACTGGTGATTGAGCCTGCAACCCAGGCATGTGCCCTTGACCAGAATTGAACCTGGGACCCTTCAGTCCACAGGCCGATGCTCTTTCCACTAAGCCAAACCAGCTAGCGCTCACCACACTTCTTAATAAAACAAACTTTGAGGCTTTCATGTGTGAAGAGGCTATGGTTCTTATCTATATTTCGCTGAAAAAATTCAGCAAATATTTCCTGTTTCCACTTAGCTTCTTTCAATCTCCACATATTTATGATGTACCTGCCATGTGATAGGCATTTATAAATGCCCTGAGGATACAGAACTAAACAAGGTATAAAAGGATTCTTTTATGATGTAGCTTACATTTTATTGGAAGAAGAAATATAAAATAAATAAGAAAATATTTGAAGTGATATATGCCTAATACAGTCTCACATAAGCATTATTACACCAGTATTAGCATATCTGTGAGACTATATAAGATAACCTGGTAACTAGTATAGATGAAGAGAAAGGGTTTAAGGAGCAAGTCCTGGGTAGCACCAATGTTTAGAAATGAAGCGGAAAGGAGAGGCCAGAAAGTAGACTGAGGCAGGAGCATGCAGCCAGGATGAGCGGGAGAGCATATCACTCTCACGGATAAGTGTTTTGAGAAAGGAAAAGTGTCCTGTCAATGCTGCTGAGGTGTCAAGGACAAGGAGGATGGAAGAGACCATTGAGGACTTGGGCAAGAACACTGTGGGAACAGCAGTGCAGCAGAGGCTGGAGTGGGAAGGGTTGGGGAGAAAATGTGAGGTGAAGACTTAGGGACCGTTCCGCTGGTTCAAGACATTCTTCTGTGAAGAGTAGTGAAATGGGAGTAGTAGCTAGAGTGGGTTAAGAAGTGTTGTTGTTGTTGTTGTTGTTTTTCAGATGTGGGCTAATTGATTCATGCTTCTATAATAATGAGAAGGGTCTAGGACCGTGGTCGGCAAACTGCGGCTCGCGAGCCACATGCGGCTCTTTGGCCCCTTCAGTGTGGCTCTTCCTAAGCTTTAGGAGTTCCCTAATTAAGTTAATAACAATGTACCTACCTATATAGTTTAAGTCTAAAAAATTTGGCTCTCAAAAGAAATTTCAATCGTACTGTTGATATTTGGCTCTGTTGACTAATGAGTTTGCCGACCACTGATGTAGACTCTAGGATAAAGGTAGAAGTTATTGATGCAGGAGAGAGTGGCAGGGACAATTAGGATCAAAATCTTTGAGAATTTGATGGGGTTAGAGTTTGGAAGTTGCAGGGGTAGCCTTTGCTTGGAGCAGGATGCATGATGCATTATGTCATAAGGGAAGGCAGAGAGGGCACAGCTGAATATAGTTTGGTAAATATTGATAGTAGGCATTCCTACTGGTTATATTTCCTCCATTAAATACAAGCATCAGTTGGCAGTTGGGGGTGGACAGTTAAAAAGAGAAACGGGGTGGCTAGGAGTTTGGTAGAGAAAATGTGAAATGCTTGTGTTAGAGAGTGGTAGGGTGAACACACTAGGGAAATGTAGCAGAAAAGATTAAGTTCTCTTTTTGTCTTTCAGTGCACAATTCTTTTTTTTCTCTAAAATTTCTTGAATTACAGATGACAATGTTTTTATTAGCTTTGGGTGTATAGCATAATGGTTAGACATTTATATAATTTAAGAAGCAATCCCCTCATCTGGCAGCATCCATAGTTATCAGACAACATTAAGCTGTCATTTGAGGTTTATGGTCATGAATTTAAAATGAGATCTTTACTCTGCTGATTTGTATACAATTCTTTCTATACAGATTCAGTGCTACTCTGTGTCACTCCACACTTGTTTCTGAATGTTGATCTCTTATCTCCTCACTCCAATTAGATTGTAAACTTGTAGGGCCAAGAATCAAAACCCTTCCTTTTCTCCCTAGATTTCCTTACTCAGAAAGCTTGTCTGTACCCGTGGTTTAGACTGCATGTCAGCCTCCACCTTTCTTCTGAGCTCCTAACCCATATTTATCACCAGTTGCTAAATCTGGATATTTTACAAGTGCATTAGGGCCAAAACAGAATTTCTATATCCTCTACCCTCCGTCCAGTGGTTCTTCATATAAATCTTCTCTCAACTTAAAGTCACCCTAGTAAAAACACCAGCGTCAACCATGACTTTCTCTTCCTCTTCTCCTTAATCTAATCCAGTCAGTTTTGCTTCTCCCCCCCCCCCCCCCCCAGATTTATCCCTTTCATTCTGTGTCTTCTGACATTGCCTTGGTTTAGCTCTTATTCTTCCCAAGTTAGAGCATGACCCTGAACAGCTTGCTGATCCCTGTGATGAGCCTGGTTGACCTCAGTAGTGAAGCTAGGTGCTTGGACAGAGAATTATTGAAAGTCTAATTCTTTAAGGCATGAATGAGACTTGTAGCTGAGATCTCAGTGGACAGCTGGGAGGCTAATATTTCCCTAGGCTGACAAGGCAGAGTCAATTGATTTGAACTTCATCAAACTCAGACCACTGTCTGGCTAGGTCCTAACAATGTTTCTTTGCACCATGGAATTAGTTAATGAGATGAAGGCCACTAAAATGCCCAGAGCAATTTTCTGTTACCTTAAATGTTTAAGATCCACATGAGAAGAAGGCCTTTACATTTTAAACATATTTGTCATTAATAACTCTGGGCATCATGTATGACACTTTTCAGTTAAATCTGAAGTGTAGTTTGATAAATATTTTTTAATATGGCTCTTTCTTAAAAACTGGGGGATACATTTGCTGGGCAAATATTTTATCTAAAATGTATGTTGCCCTCTGTCTTGATGTATTGGATGATTGGGCTTTATTAAAGACAAGCAGACTTTAAAATAGTCATTCAGCTATATTACTATGCTCTAGGCCTCTTACCTTTGTTTCTGACTATACTGGAAAGATTTATGGTCAGGAGAAAGGGTCCTTCAACAGAGCAAATAATCTCTAGAGGGTTAAAACATGTATGCATTTTGACCACCAGGGGGCGGCACAGAATGAAGGAAGGCCCTGGCCAGCGGCCAGCAGCCAGCAGCTGGAGATGGAAGGCCCCGATCGGCCCTGATACCAGGCCAGGCTTAGGAATCGTACTCATGCATGAATTTCGTGCACTGGGCCTCTAGAATCAATAATAATTTAGTCCTTACTAGATTCTACATATCATTCTCCATACTTTACTATTAGCTCACTTAACCCTCATAGCAGCACTGGACATAGATTTCTATTTGTTACCTTCATTTTACAGATGAGAAAAGTTGAGGAAAAGAGAGCTTTAGTTACCCCAAAGCAGAGATAAGTAGTAGAGCCAGGATTTGAACCTAGAAATCTGGCTCCATGGTCTGAGCTCCTGACCATGCTATCAGGATTTCCTTTCACCAATGATAGAAGTGAACTGAGGGGAAAAATCCCCGAGAAACAGAGAAAACTAGTTCTGTGAAGGACACTGATAGAAAATGATCAGAGAGGTAGGAGAAAAAACAGGGAGGCACCCTGATTCAAGGACAGAGAAAGTTTTAAGAAGGAAGGTGAGGTCAAGAGTGTTCATGCCACAGAAATGTCATGGAAGAAAATAACTAGAAAATGTCCACTGGGCTTGAGGACCTCTTCCACCTTAACAAGAGCAAAACTCATGGAAGAGGGAGAGGTAGGTGGAAGCCAGATTGTGGTGTTGGGGAAAAATCAAGTGGTAAGGAACTGGAGAGAGCAAGCTCTATTGTGGAAAATGACTTTTCCTTTAGGAAAGTTTAAAGTAGGAGCCAAATTTTCATCCATCATGGAGTTAGAGAAGAGATTCTTACCTTCAGTGGTAGGGTGTCTAATCAGCATCTCAAGCCATTGGCAAAGGACCTGTTTGTTTGTTTTTTTAATTTCTAATTTGTTGTTGATCAAGACTCCAATACTGGTATATGGGCCACACTTTGAAGGGTCCTTCCAGCTTGATGATGAGTTATGAATAACATAGAGTCTTTGATCTTCTTGACAAGCTGGTGTTTATCTTCTCTCATCCTTCCTTATAGCTTTTCATAGTATAACCGAGTTTTTAATCCCTTTTTAATATGGTTTAGAACCTTACTTTCAAAATTTATCTCTTTAGCTCTTAGATACTCTGCTTTTATATGAAAAGTGTTAATTTTCTAATATATTTTATCTTCTTATTGGGACCTTATTTTCTAATTTATATTTTACCTTTTTCTTGTGCTGTGTAGGGATTTGGGATTTATGGGGTGGGGGTAAGGTAGTGAAACATTTCACTTTAATAGAGAAGAATATTTATTTTTTAAAACTATTAAATTTATTGGGGTGACAGTGGTTAAGATTACATAGGTTTTAATTGTACAGTTTTATAATACATTATCTGTATACTGCATTGCATGATCAAGTCTCTTATTCTTCATCACTGATGTTGTCTAGAATTGCCTACTTGGGGTGATAACAAAAAGCAGACCATCTGTTGGTCAGTTTTATTACTGTTTTTTGCATTCTCTACAGACAACTCACCTTCTTATCATCTGTATCTGGGATGAAATGCTTCCAGTATCCCCTGGAAATGCCATTGGCCTTAATTTTATATTAAGAGTACAAATACTTCAAATTCCTGTATAGCTGCCAATTAAATTGTATTCAGATTATCATTATCTTCACATTTTATAGGCCAGCGACTACTTCTCAAAGGCTTTAAAGTTTGATCCAGAAAATGAATGTGCTACCATGAATCGAGCTATTGCAAATACAATATTAAAGAAGTATGAAGAAGCAAAAGAAGATTTTGCAAATGTAGTTGAAAGCTGTCCCTTTTGGGCTGCGGTGTTTTTTAACAGAGCACAGTTCTATTGTTGTTTAAAGCAATATGAATTAGCTGAGGAAGACCTCAGTAAAGGTATATTTTTTGTAATGTTTTGGGTAAGATTACAGTGGTTGATGTGTTTTTTAAATAATAAAAGAACAAACCTATCAGGTTTATTGGTCTAGAAAAACTTACATTAGAAATGAGTGTTTTTATATACCATGTCTTTAATGTAATCAATATGAGTTTCTTTATGTAGTAACTTGCAGTATTGGTCAGTATAGATGCAGAAAATTATTAGGGAAACTACACACAAGCATTGGCAGCCTTTCAAAGAAAGACATTGTACTGTTTCCCCAATTTAATTTTCTAAGAAAGATTCAATATTTTAAATTTAAATAGGTGCATATGAAGAAAATGTTTTCAAACAAGTAATACTAAAGTTGTTATATTATAAGATTTTTATTTTAAAAACTGAGACCTTTCGAGTGTTAGCATAAAACACATCTTGCATTTTTTTTCTTTGACAGCTCTGTCTTTGAACCCTAGTGATGCCCTGGTATATAATCTGAGAGCAGAAGTTCGTGGTAAAATGGGTGCGATTGAGGAAGCTATGGCTGACTATAACCAAGCACTTGATCTTCAAGAATATGCCAAGTGATATGATTATAGAGACTGGTTTCTGTAGCAGTTTACACAGCTGTTAAACCAGAAATTGAAATGTATTTGTTGTTTAAAACAAAGTTGCACTATCTTCACTATTGTATTCATTATGTTTCGTCTTCTCTATAACCCTTTTATGCATTTTAACAACACATGTATGCTCTATATTAATTTTAAAACATTTAGATCATTTTATGCATATTTGGAAAAACTCAATAATTGAATTTCTTCATTGGATGCAGAATTTAAATGGGAATGTTTCTTAAAGATTATTAACACTTCAAATATTTTCTTTAAAATAATTCCTTTTGAAATATTACTGCATGATTGTAGAAAAAGTGTCAACCTTTTTCTCAATATCTACTCACAATTAAATTCAATGGTATACAGATTAAAAAATCAATATAGAGCTGATGACTATAAAGAAATTGAAGTCATGTACATTTCCTCTCTCCTCCTTTAAGTAATGCCTATTCAGGCTGGTATCTCTCCTACCGCTCACATTCTTCCAACAGATAAACACATCCCCTTTCTGTAACGTTCCCTCCCTTCCAGAACAGCACCTGTAAGATTCTGAGCACATGGTTCCTTGGGAGTGTTCCCTCTACTTTAATGTAAATTTGTAAACATGCACTTGCAATTGGTGCTTCATACTAGGTGACCAGTAAAAATAAGTTAAAACAGCTAAAAATTCTTTATAGACTGTCTGTTGAGTGAACCAACAGAGAACCCCTTTCTTCATCTTACTGATAGGAACAAGGTCTTCTGACTTTGAGCTCATTCTGACTGGCTTCACTCAGTTTATTTTCCTTGTTCATTTCATTCTCCCAGTACCTCTCCAGCTCCCCGGAGACCTGTGTCCACTGAGATCAGGCATTCTGGGAAAGAATTCCTCTTCCACCGAGCTTCATTTGATGTTAGTTTGATGTGCCAGATTTTCACAGTGGAAAGTGGATTTTCAATGTGGTGATGCTTCACGTTCTTCAGAAAACTTTCTTGACATGCTATGTGGACCCACATCATCTTTAGAGGGGTACTTCAGACTGGTGAAGCACGCACACATTTAATAAGCTGCTCAGGTCCTCTTGCTCTCACTTACCTCCAGTCTCTTAGCCCCAGCCCCAGCCCCAGAGGAGATTCAGACCAACCTCCTGCAGCCACAGACAGCCCCTCCTCTCAGGCACAGCCACACCTGTCTCATCTATTGCCTTGGCATCGCTTCCTGCTGAGGCGTCTGCTGCGGGATTCTCCCAGTGTCTACCCACGTGCACTGTGGGTGTGTAGCAGACCAAAGTCCCTGTCATATGAGCCTTTGGTGATGGGAGAAAGGAGCTGGTAGATAGGTTCTTCTCCCTCCCATCTGTTGGTGGACTGTCCTGAGACACGTGGTTTATACAGCCTCCTGGAGGATCGTACTGGTGCTGAGAGAAGCAATCAGTTGGCATTTATGGCAGCCAGCTTCAAAACTTACCTTGCATTAGTGCTTCTTTCTTTCCTGCCTTGCTCCCCTTTGCCACCACTCCTGCTTTCCTGGGTCTGCACTTCGTGGCCTCTGGCTCTCTGGGGCGTTCCTATCACCCCACTGTGGCCCCCCGTATAACCTCCTCCATTCACACCCTTTGTGAGCTTTCCCCTTCCCTGCCTCACTCCCTGCGTCCTCACACCAAGGAAGGGGCAGTGAAGCTGGGTCCAGAGCAGCACAAAGGCCCATGGGCAGGGGCGTCGAACAGTAAGGTCCTCCGTGCAGACTGGTGTCAGGACAGCGACACAGAAGTGGGGAAGTAAAGAAGCAGTTTGGGGGAGGGCTGGAGCAGAGTTTTTGGAAGGAAATGAGTGGAAAGCATGTAATGTTGTCAGAGTCAGACATGCGGGATCAAGAAGTCACAACTCAAGGAGTTAAGACTTCACTGCCTGTGAGACAGAAGGTGAGGGTGGGCGGGGAGAGTCACCCCTTTAGTCCTTTCTCTCCCCCCACCCTCACATTGATGGACTGAGGCTATTTTAGCATCACAGATAAACATCGGGCCTAGGAGAACTGACCAGCACTCTCCAGAAAGAGGTTGGCTCTGTCCTGTCTGTGCTCCATTCAGGCTCAGTCTTCTCTGAAGGAGAAGGTGCCCGGCGGTGAAGGGAGAGGCTGCAGGTGGAGGCGGATGGAGCGGGCATGTGGACCAGAAGGTGACTTCCAGACATGGGAGCTGAATCAGGCCCTGAGGACCCCGAGGGAAGAAGACAGATGTCTGGATTTTGTCTTTTCCTAATTAGCTTTGTGAGTGTTGACCCCTTCAGCAGACAACTGAGCCTTTGTACTTCCCACCATGGTAGAACTAAGTTTAGTTTATTTACACACAGTTTTTACTAATGATCATCTCTGGGAGGTAAAATCAGAGGGAGAAAAGGATAAGGAGAATTTTACTTTTGTGTGTGTGTCAAGATGGAAGAAGGAATGGTAGGATTAGAGATAGTTTATACTTTCAATTTTATGCATTTCTGTAATTTACAGGTTTTTGTTAATTATATTAATTGTATTTTTGTAGTTGTATTAATTGTACTAGAGGCCCGGTGCACAAAAATTTGTGTACTGGCGGGGGTGTGGTGTCCCTCAGCCCCACTTGTGCCCTCTCACAGTCTGGAACCCCTTGGGAGATAACGACCTGCTGGCTTAGGCCCACTCCCGGGTGGCAGAGGGCAGGCCCAATCCCTAGGTGCAGCCCCTGGTCGGGCTCAGAGCAAGGCTGATTGGGGAGTTGGGGCGCCGCCCCCTGTCATGCACAGAGCAGGGCGGATCAGGAGGTTGCGATGCCATCCTCAGTCATGCTCAGGGTAGGGCCGATTGGGGGGTTGGGGTGCCGCCCCCTGTCACACTCAAGGCAGGGTCGATGGGGAGGTTGCGGCACCACCCCCTGTCATGCACAGAGCAGGGCGGATCAGGGGGTTGTGGCGCCACCCCTGTCACATACAGAGCCAGCCGATCATGGGGTTGGGGCACTGCCCCCTGTCACGCACAAAGCAAGGCCCATCAAGAGGGTTAGGGCCAAAACCGGTTTGGCTCAGTGGATAGAGCGTCAGCCTGTGGATTGAAAGGTCCCAGGTACGATTCCGGTCAAGGGCATGTACCTGGGTTGCAGGCACATCCCCAGTAGGAGATGTGCAGGAGGCAGCTGATCGATGTTTCTCTCTCATCGATGTTTCTAACTCTCTATCTCTCTCCCTTCCTCTCTGTAAAAAATCAATAAAAAATATATTTAAAAAAAAAAAAGAGGGTTAGGGCTCCATACCCTGTCACACACAGAGCAGGGCCGATCAGGGGGTTGGGGAGCTCCCCCTGTCACGCACAGAGCAGGGCGGATCAGAAGGTTGTGATGCCACCCTCAGTCACGCTCAGGGTAGGGCCGATTGAGGGGTTGGGGCGCCGCCCCCTGTCACCCACAGAGCAGGGCCGATCAGGGGGTTGGGGCACTTCCCCCTGTCACACTCAGGGTAGGGCTGATGGGGAGGTTGCGGCTCCACACACAAAGCAGGGCCCATGGGGGGGTTGGGGCGCCGCACCCTGTCACACACAGAGCAGAGCCGATCAGGGGGTTGGGGAGCTCCCCCCTATCAGGCACAGAGCAGGGCTGATCAGGGGGTTGAGGCGCCTTCCCCTGTCATGAACAGAGCAGGGCGGATAGGGAGGTTGTTGCCCTGCCCCCTGTCACACACAGAGCCGCAGGGCGATCAGGGGGTTTGGCGCTGCCCCTTGGTCATGCTGCTCAGGGGCAAGGAGGCCTCGTGCTCCGCTGATCCTGGTGCTGGGAGGCATATTACCCTTTTACTATATAGGATAGAGGCCTGGTGCATGGGTGGGGGCTGGCTGATTTGCCCTGAAGGGTGTCCCGGATCAGGGTGGGGGTCCCCACTGGGGTGCCTGGCCAGCCTGGATGAGGGGATGATGGCTGTTTGCAGCTGGTCACACCCCCTTCAGGGTGGGGGTCCCCACTGGGGTGCCTGGCCAGTCTGGGTGAGGGGCTGAGGGCCGTTTTCAGGCTGGCGGGTGACTGAAGCTCCCAACCTGTCCTTTTTTTCTTTTTTTTTTTTTTATTCTGGGATTTATCTACCTTCTATGGCTGTCACTGGAGCTGAAAGCCAGCTTTAGCTCTGAGGCTCAGCTCCAGCTCTGAGACCTCGGCTGCTGAAAGCAGGTTTCTGGGCTTTGTTTACCTTCTGTATTTGAAACTTGGTTGCGACTCCAGCTCTGAGATCCCGGCTGACTGAAAGCAGGTTTCTAGGTTTTTTTTAGCTTCTATAATTGCAACAATGTTTCTTAAACTGCAAGCTCAGAGCCCAGCAGCGGCAGGTGGGGAACGTTGGCTTCCTCCATCACTGAAGCAAGCAAGCCTCCTGTTCGCTTCAAGCTGCCTGGCTGCTGGCTGCCATCTTGGTTGGCAGTTAATTTGCATACGGATATGCTAATTAGCCAATGGGAAGGGTAGCGGAGATACGGTTAATTACCATGTTTCTCTATTATTAGATAGGATTTTTTTCTTTACTAGAATATAAGCTCTGTGTGAAGCTTGTCTTTTTTTGTTTAGTATTGTTTCTTTTTTATTTAAAGATATTTAAAAATACCTATAGGTATATTTAAATACCTATAATGACTGGAAAGTGACAGATGCTCAAGATACATGAATTTGCTAAATATAAAGCAAATTACAAATGCAATACTCAATGATTGTGTAGCTATTGTGATGAATTGTCTACTTTTCATATGTTCCTTCATATTTCTTTCGTGTCTTCTATATACAGAGAATGAAAGCTAAGAGTTGTCTCCCAAATGTCCTTGCAGCCAGAATTCACAATGTGATTTAGTTTCTGCTAATTTGACACAATGCTGAGACTAACTTGAGGTGGCATCATGCAAGGCCACCTTCTGCTGCTACTATAACAGCAGGCTCTGGATGGCTAGATTGTAGCTGTCAGATTTAGCAAATTAAAATACAGCACATCTAGTTGAATTTG